AGCGGCCCCGCCTCGCGGGAGGGGGCGCGGGGCCGAGCGAGGGCCCCCGGGAGCCGGCCGCTTGGCTGCTGCAGCGCGCCCGTGGCCACCCCTCCCCCGCCGGTCCTTAACCCACGCACTCCGTTCGAGTACATGATCCTGGCCACCATCATCGCCAACTGCATCGTGCTGGCCCTGGAGCAGCACCTCCCTGACGGGGACAAGACGCCTATGTCCGAGCGCCTGGTGAGTGCGGGCTGGGCCCCGCTGCCCTTCAGGGCCTGAGCACACCCTTCTCCTGCGGTGGAGGACCGGGCAGCTGCCCTCTAACCCGGAGGCCACGCGACCCCTGTCCAGGCTCTGTGGGGTGGTGTCCAGCCAGCCTCCCTGCAGCCGAGGCCGAGGGCGGATGAGGGCGGAGGGCCGCAATCCTTCCTCCACAACCCCTTCTCCCATGAGGCCGCCTCTCAGGCCAGACAAGCCATTTTCCTTCCTGCCAGGAGCCCCCTGGATCTCCTGCAGGTTTGTAGGGTGTGTGGCTGGGGTCCTCAGCCTGGTGGAGTCCTGGGGTGGGCACCACTTGCAAAGAGAGGGCACAGTGCCCTGGCCCCTCAGCTGGGCTCGGTGTGGGCTGAAAGCCGGTGCGGGGCAGGGGCCGCATCTAAAGAGTGGACAGGATCCCCGAGGAGATCGCCTGTTCTCCCTCCCACCCTACTTGAGATGAGGCTTGCGAAGCGCTCAGAGGGGGACCCTGTCCATGCTAAGTTTGGGCGTCTGTGGTTGGGGGGGGCCAGGGTGGATGACAGGGGAGCAGGAGTTCTCAGGGAGCCCAGGGCAGGAAGTGCGCAGTTGGTCCCAGCCCTGTGATGCCCGAAGGGTGAGTCGTGGACCCTGGGGCTCTCTCTTGCCTTCTCTGGGCCTCAGACGCCTGCTCTGACCTGGATGAGTGTCCACCCTGAGACTTGATGGGGAAGGCGGGTGGTTAGGCTGCCAGCTTCCAGCACCAGGACCCAGGGTGTGGCCGGAGCTCCTGGGGACTTTGTCAGGGTAGATCCCAGGGGAGCCAGGACAACGAGACCTGCCCAGGGTCAGGGCCGAGCCTGGCATCCAGCTGTGCTAGCTCCGGCCTTGTAGCTGGGGTGGGGTTCTTGCTTTGTGCACACAGATGGGGGTGCACACCTAGGGGCTAGGGGCTGGCCTGTCAGGTGAATGAGCAGAGCATGACCCCCTGCAGGTCTGATTGGCCATCCACAGACTCCAAGCCCAGAGCCAGGCTCAGACCTGAGGCACAGAGGAGGCAGAGGACCTGGGGGTTGGTGCTGCTGCCCGGGAGCCCATGGGCCTGACTGGGTCAGGGGGGCTGCCCGGCTGCCTGCAGCCAGGACTTGGGCGGGGCCTTCTGGACTCCGTGTCCCACCCACCCATCAGTTCCAGAGCTGCCTTCAACAGGAGCCCCTGGCCTGCTGAGCACCACCACCCAGACTCCCTCCCAGTCCAGCTCTGGGCCATGTGCTGGTCAAGAGTGGGCTGCTGCCTCACTTCCTGAAAGAGCTGTGCTGGGCAGACCCAGTTGTTCCCCCAGGGCCAGTGGTCAGCAGCCCCTCCCCCTTCCCCCACTAAACTGGACCAGAAGCCTCAGGCCGGGGAGAGTGCAGGTCCCTCTGCCCCCTGTGGTGAGTCAGCATCGGGGCAGCACGATGGACGCTCAGAGGCCCAGCACGATGCACGCTCAGAGGCCCAGCACGATGGACACTCAGAGGCCCAGCCTTCTGGGTGGCGGCAGCTTCCACCACAGGCCAAGGAGGAGGTGCAGGCTGAGGCAGATGGGGACAGCCTTCCTGGGAGTCAGGCCCAGGTTGTGGGGACTGGCCACACCCACCGCTGGCAACTCCTCCACGGGCCAGCCCCTGCTGCCTCTGCCCCTCCCTGCAGGGCACAGCAGCCTCCTGCTGTGGTGTCCACAGTCCTGAGGTCAGGCTGGCCACAGCCCTGCCACCCCTTGGTCTGCCTCTTGAAGCTGCAGCCCTCCGGGGCTAGTGTCCAGTGTCCTCAGGCCTCCCTCCACATCCAGCTCCCCCGGGCTCGCCTGTGCCCACGCTCTGCTCTGTCACGTGCCGCGCCACGTCCTCCCACAGCCGCCTCCCCGCCCCGGCTCTGCTCAGCGCCACTCGTGTTGGCACAGACATGGCCTGGGGGGAGGGACGCTGTCAGCCGTCGTCTTCCTTCCTTTGGCCATGCCGTTGCCTTCACCTGGAGCACCCATCCCCACTTGTTTTCCACCAAGATCTGTGGGTTCCTGTCCAGCTGTGCTGGCTGCACAGAATCCTGGGAAGGCTGGCTGTGTCCAGCAGCCTAGTGCTGGGGCTGGGGCCCAGGGCCAGACCCTGAGGGGTCCTGGGTTTGAGTCCAACTCTGCCTCTCCGCCTCTGTCTACTTCTTTTTATTTTTATTTTATTTAAAAAGTTTTAAACATTTATTTGAGAGGCAGGGAGAGAGAGTGTCCCCAGCCATTGGGCCCCTCCCCAGACTCCACAATGACAGGGACGGAGCTGGAGCTGTGAGCCAGAGCTCCGTCCAGGTCTCCCATGTGTGTGGCAAGGACCCAGCCACTTGGGGCACCACCACTGCCGCCCAGCGCGCGCATTAGCAGGAAGCTGGAGTCAGAGCAGAGTCGGCACTGAGGCGGGATTCAGGTGTCCCGGCTGGCGTCTTGACAGCTTTTCCAAATGTGCCTGTGCTTTATGACGGGGATTGGGGTGTCCTTGTCACCCTACTCAGTGATCACACTGCAGACAGCCTTGTCCCTGTCACTGCCTTCCCTGGGGCAGGCCAGGGTGAGGTCCCAGTGGGCTGGGTCCTGGCCTCTCTGTGAACCAGTGCAGAGGCTGGGGTGCCAGAGGTGGGAGGCATGAGGGCAAGCCCTGGTATGACGGGCACAGGGAGCCACAGCCCATGCAGGTGGCATGTGGGCTGGGGAGCTGCGGGCAGCGGGGACCCTGCCACGTGCTTGTTCGCAGGATGACACCGAGCCCTACTTCATTGGGATCTTCTGCTTCGAGGCGGGGATCAAGATCCTGGCCCTGGGCTTTGTTCTGCACAAGGGCTCCTATCTGCGGAACGGCTGGAACGTCATGGACTTCGTGGTAGTCCTCACGGGGTAGGTGTGCCTCTGCCTGGGGCCCCTGCGTGGAAAGGTGTGAGGTCTCTGCTGGTTGGGCTGTGAGGTCTTCCCAGGGAGGAGCGGGTCGGCCTGCAGTCTGGGAGGGGCTGTCTAATGCCTGCCGAGCTCAGCCCGTGTCCTTGAGCAACCTGGAGAGTTAGAAAGCTAACCCGAGGGTGGCCGAGGCTGGGAGTGTGGGCCTTGTCCCTGGGCCGCCCATCGGAGTCTCCGCTGCCCCTCTGCCCTGATGGGCACTTTGGGGACCCTTGCCTATTTCTCAGGCCCACAGCTGAGCCGTTGCTGGTGGTGGAGAGGGAGTGGAGCCTAGGGACCTGGCTCCCACAGAGCCTGTTTGCAGGGACCAGCCTGTTTTTCCCTGGGGCCTTGGGCCTGCTGTGGGGAGCAGGAAACCCTCTGGGTGAGGCAGGCTCTGTGCTCCTGCCCTGGTGGCTGCTCTGCCCCTGCTGTCTCTGGGGGAGAGCCGCGTGTGCTATGCGTGCCCAGGGCGGGTGGGGGAGGAAGAGGGCCCCCTGTGTTGCGGCGATGCTGTTTACCCCTCGGTCCCCTAGGACGAGAACGGTGCCTGCTGCATCGTCGTTTTCAGGATGTCCCTGGGGGAAGCGTGGGGCGGGCGCCTGGGAGGGGCACTGAGCCTATGCCTTGTGAGCGAGCCGGGGGTGCCCTGGGGTGTCCGTGGGTGCTCACAGCTGACCTGACCTCCTGGGTGCTGCTCATGGTGCTGGAGGTGGGGATGCGAGGCTGGGCTCCAGATCCAGGGGAGCTTGAGTCCCTCCATGAGTCCCTGTGAGCCCCCAGACCCATGCTGGCCCTGGGCCCCTCCCTCCCGGCTTCTGTCTGCATCTTCTCCTGACATCCTCCCCTCTCCCATCTCTGTCTCTGATCTCTATCCCTTGACCATCTCTCGCTGCCTGTGCGGCCTCCGCGACAGCCCTGGGCTGGGAAGGGAACCCCCAGTGGGGAAGCCACCCCCTGGGGGTTCACGTGCACCCCAGGGCTGCCCAGGGAGCCACTCAGTTGCTCCTGCCTGGGCCCCATGGGGCAGAGGACCTGTGCTGGGGGTTGCATGCGCAGGGGAGCCGGCCCCTGGGGAGCTGCGCGCCGGTGTTTCTCGTTACTTCGTTGGTTTTAATTAGGGTTTGTGTAATTGGTGTGCCGAGGCGGTGATGCCCTGGACGGGTGCCCAGTGAAGCTGGATTCCTCCCCAGTGGTAGCCGGGGTCCCTCTGCCTCAGGCTGGTGTGGGGGTTGTGGGGGTGCCCCCACCTCGATTCTTGCCCTCAGTGTGCGAGGGTGTAAGCCCTGGCAGGCACACACCTGCTCAGGGCATGGGGGCCAGGCTGTTGCCCCACATTGCATCTGGGCTGTGCCTGGGGCTGCAGTCAGCTCTGGGAGAGGTTTGGGCTGGGGGTCTCAGGCTCCAGGCTGGAGGATCCCACACAGGTTGGAGAAGCTGTGAGGGGCCTGGAGAACTGAGAGGTCTTGTCAGCACCCTGTGGCACTGAGGCTGCCAGGGGCCTTGCCTGCCCTCATGGGCCTGTTTGTCCTGGGTAGCTGGGGTCATCTGGGGGCTCTGTTCCCCTTTGGGGCAGTCCAAGGGTGACCACCCAGGACTTTCCCTTGGTCCCGTGGGTGAGGACAGAGCCAGCTGGGTCCCTGTTTAGGATGCTGTGTCCTTGTCATGGCTCCTGGCTCCTGGTCCATTCCTGAGTTTGCCCAAGAGAAGTCTGCCTGCCTCACTTCCTCCTTGAAGGAAGTGTGGCCGCCGGTGGCGCTGCAGGACTGGTCCGGGGTGCCGTGGTCAGGGTGTGCTTCTGGGGCCTCAGCCTGGGGGTACCTGCTCGTCCTGCTTGGTCGTGCAGCTCCTGGTGTTGCACCCTCTGTCCATCTGTCCCTCTGCTTGTGTGCGTGTCTGGCCACTGGAGCTGCCCCTCATCCCCACTCACTCATCATTCAGTCTTACCCTATCCTGAGCACCTGCACGTGTGGCAGACCCAGGAGTGACCAGAGCCCACCACGCCCCAGTCCTGAGGCTGTGTCTCCTGTGGACAAGGCAGCCCCTGGCCCCCTGGAGAGGTGCAGTGGAGGCCTCAGGGCTAAGGGCCTGCAGCAGAGACCACCCCGTTTCCCACAGAGAAAACCAGAGGACAAGGCCAGGGTTAGGCTTTGTGGTGGTGGTGGTGGCCTTGAGCGGGGAGCTGGGGCCATGAGGGGCACAGTGGGACCCCATAGGATTCCTAGGGTGTAGGGAGCACAGAGGAGACACTGCCTGGCGGCCAAGCCCAGGGCAGCCGGGGTTTACAGGTGGTCACTGGCTGGGGCATCTGCGACAGGAGCCGAGCGGCGGGGTAAGAGCCGGGTCTGGCAAAACAGCACTGGGAGAGGCTCCCCGAGGCAGCTCTTTTACTTTCTGGGGAGTCTTGTGGCAAAGCGTGACAGAGAAATGAGGCAGAGAGGAGGGAGGGTAAAGAGGGCTTTGTAAGCTCCACGGCCCTATCCCATTTGTGCTGGGCACGACCCACAGGGGCCAAGCCTGCTGGCCTCCTGGAGCAGAGGGAGACTGGGGTGCACGGACCCAGCCGTCCAGCAGCTGCGGTCCCCCTGGGTGTCCCCATGTCCTGGCCTCCCCTTCTTGGATCCACCTGGGGCAGGACCATCCTCCCCTCATTAGGCCCAACCTGTCTGGTGTCCTGGGGGACAGCAGGCTAACTTTCTCAGCTCACAGGTGGCTCCCCAAGGAGACACTCCCAGCCACTGCATCTCATTTCACCCCAAAGAAAGCTGGGATTTCTTTCTAGGACACTAATTAGAGCTTGGCCTTCCCTCCCTGGCCTCAGACTTAGGGGAAAAGCAGTGTGGGCCATGGAGCTCAGTGGTTACTGCCACTGGCCACCCATGGCCAGCCCATGGACACTGCCGACCTGAGCCTCCTGGACTCAGCTGTTGCCTGCTGGTGACCCCTGCTGCTTCCTTTCTGGGCACGTGGATACAGACGGTGCAGGAGAGACAGAGCAGGTGCACGGCTAGGCTTCACAGAGTCCCCCTCAGGGCAAGGGGCACCACACAGGGCCAGCCACAGCCCTCGTCTGAGCTCAGGCACAGGAGACTCCGAGAGACTGGACTTGAGCATGGGCCAACTCCAGGGCTCGTCCAGCAGTGAGCAGAGAAAACCCCCATGCAGGTACCACCTCAGCTCTCAGGTCTAGGGCTGAGACTCCACCAGGGGGTCCTGGGTGCCCTCTCCCCTTCCCCACCTGAGACGTGAAATGGTTTTGGAGGGCGTGACGCTACCCCATGTGGCTGGAGCCCGTCGGGGAGGGGCTGCCTTCTGAGAAGTGGTCCTGGAGCCTGGGCTCGAGGTCCGCATGCGGCATCTCTGAGCCCTCCTTAGTGACTCACAGCAGGCCTGGTGGAGGACACCTGTGGTGTCCCTGAATGGGCACCCTAGAACTGCCAGTCCTACATGTGGGGCTCCAGAATGCTGTGGACAGGGCCCGGGTGTGGCTCAGCTGCGGCTCCTCCAGGCTGAGGTCTGTGCTGGTTCTGCAGGGCCTGGAGGCCATCATGGTGGGGGGGCCCCGTCTTCCACACTTGGGACCCCCCCACTCCTCTGTGCCTCCTCTCTGCTCTGTTTCTTTGCCTGGATTGAGCCAGAGCTGGGCCCCTGGCTGGCACTGACCCTGTCTACCAGTGTGGAGGGGTTCAGGCTCTACCCTCCTGATGTTGGCTGGACTGCGCGTGGGCCAGCCGCAGTCTCTGTGGCGCTGGGGACGATGGGCCTCCTTGCCACCCCAGTCACAGGTCACAGCTTCTGGGCCTGACGTGTGCACCAGGTCCCTGGCCCACGAGCTCGGTGCTGCTCACGGTGGTGCCTTCCTGTGCCCGAGCCTCTTACCCTGCTGGGCTCCAGGTGTGGGAGTCCTGCAGGTATACGCTCCCTTTCTCCCCAGGGAGGGTTTGTTGTCTGAGCAGCTGACCCTGAGCTCACAGCTGCAGTAGGTAGGGACAGGCCAGTGTGCTGGGCTGGCCCTCAGTAGCTGCAGGGGCCACATGCTGGGAGGCCTTTGGGTCACTCACAAACACTGGGAAGCCTTCAAGGCTGGATTTGGGGGTGTCTTGGACTGAGCAGGAGGGAGGAGGGGCAGGGGGCAGTGCAGCCTGGGGCCTGCTCGGAGCTGGGGCACAGCTGTGTGGGGCCGGATTATGGGCAGAAGGGGCCTGGCCAGGGTTCTCAGGTGGGTCTGCACTGGTTGTCAGCAGTAAAAGCCACCTTGCCGCCTCGCTTGGTGGAAGCCCCCCGAGTCTGTGCACACCCCTCCCCCAGTGCTGCCCCCACCAGCTGCTGCATTCCGGAGCCCAGACACAGAGGTTGGGGCAGCTGGCCCAGGATTTGCGGGGATTCAAGCTCCTGCCTCGCTGCACTGGGTGGTGGCTTCCCCCGCAGGCTGCCTCCCCGCTCAGCTCAGCACGGGAGCTGAGAGCTGCAAATTCACACTGAGGCGGGAATGGCTGCTAATGGCTTCTTGTGTTACTAGGCCTGGAGTGGGTGGGACTGCAGGTGCCGGCCTGGCTCCTGGGCCTTCCCAGGCCGTGCAGGTGGAGGGGCTGCTGGATTCCTCACCACCCCCACCCCTCCATCCATCCTGTTTGTAGCTTGTTCTCTGCCGTTCTCAGTTCCAGCAAGCAGCCAGACAGAGCAGGGACCTGGAGTGTAGGTTCCTAGCAGGTCACAGAACAACCGCCCAGCTTCCGCCGGCCCTATGACCTGTCAGCCTCAGCCCTTGCAGACCCCCCCCCCCCCCGTAAGTCTCCTTTCTCCAAGGCTCAGAGGCTGCCCCCACCACTCAGCTGACCACACAAACCCCGAGTCTGGGCCCGGGTGGCAGTGCTGGGCACCAGGGTCCTCCTCCACCGGGGCCTTCCTGCCTCCCAGCCCCAGACCCTGCTGTCTACCTGGCTGGACTTGCCCACTCCCAGAGG